TCACCCGCCTGCCCGACTCACCCTGCTGGACCTTCTTGGGCTCTGGAAGGGGACCGTTCATTGTCGGATCCCCAGGTTGGGACAGCGCAGGGAGTCGATCCGTATTTGTGACAGTGAGAAGGACTGCCTGGGTGTTGTTGAGTATTTCCCCAGAACGTCCAGCAGCTTAGTGCTGGATGAAATGGTACTACAACGTAGTGGCTTTTTTCCCCTTTATCCTCATAGTGGGATTGAACCAGGGCCATCCCACTAAGCTAATCCCTAGCCCTTCTATTATTATTATTATTAATTGGCAACAGCCTCTCAGTAACTCAGTTGCACAAGCCAGGCTTGAACTTGGGATCCTCCTGCCTCAGCCCTCCCAGCATGCTGAGATTACAGCTGTGTGCCACCATTCCTGGCTGAGGTGGTAAATCTTTTTAAGAGGCAGGATTTAATGCAAGGTGATAAGGTGACAGGGCATATCCCCCCCCCCCCCATCAATGAATTCAGTTCTGGAAGAACTGAGTTCTTGGGAGGCAGGCAAGAGCGTAGGAGAGCCCCTGGCCCGCCCCTGTGCGCTTCTGCGTCCCGCACCTCCCTGTCTGCTTCTCCTGCCATTGTGCGCTGCGGCCGGAGGGGCCTCCCCAGAAGCGCAGGGTTCGGACTTTCTGGCCACCAGAATCGTGAAACAAATACGCTTCTTTTCTGTGAACCTGACCCAGTAACTGCTATTTTGTTAAAACAGTACACAAAGTGACGAGGGCGAGACTCTGCATCCTGCTCGGCTCGCCCCTCCTCAGTGATCCTTTCTGCCCTGAGCTCTTTCGATGGGCTCTGGATTTTCTTCCAGAAACTGCGGCTGCTCCTGCACCCCCCGCTGTGCTCTGGCCCCTGCTCCAAACGCACAACTTGGCAGGCTGCTCTTTCCTGGAAAGGAGCCCAGGAAGCCTCAGAACTGGGAAGCGGGGACCGTGTCACGTGATTTACTGACTCATCCCGCGCTGTGCCCTCCCGTTTGCAGAGCTTTCCAGGCTGCAGGACAGTGTTTTTTTTTTTGTTTTTTTTTATTTACTTATTTATTTTGTGTGTGTGGCCAGCTCAGCCCACCAGGGGGCGGGGCTGGCTGGCATGTGGTGCTGGGGGATTGAACTGCGGTCCCTGTGCTTTGCTTAGCTTAGCTTAGTTTGTTCTAAGTAGGTGCTTTAGACCACTGAGCCATCTCACCAGCCCATGCAGGACAGTGTTTTGTTTGCTTTTGCATCACCTTTCATTGGCTTTATTTCATGCTGCTGGAGACTGAACTGGGTGCTGCTCTGCTACTGAGCTGTCTTCTCAGCCTTTTTAATTTTTTTTCCTTTTGAGACAGGTCTCCCTAGGCTGGTCAGGCTGGTCTCAAAACGTGCAACCCTCCTGCTTCAGCTTAAGTAGCTAGAATTAGGGGTATGGCCACCACACCTGGTTTTTGTTTTTGTTTTTTAAAATTGGCTGCTAATCCTGTAGCTGCCCTGTTTGCTGTGCATTTGCGCAAGGCTAACATCCGGGAACGTGGACTCCTCCAGCACTTTCTTTGGCTTGGAGCAAAGGGAGCCTTTGCTATGCCTGCGTCAGGGGGCTGGGGCCTGTGCACCTTCCCATAGGCTGAGGAGTCTGGGGGCCGCGGAGACGTGCAGTAGTCCCTGCCTGTTTCACGATTCGACGTTTGTGGGCTCACTCTTCAGCGGGCTTTCAGAAAATATAAATCTAAACTATTGTGGGTTTTTCGCTATATCGCAGGATTTTGCGGTAGTGTACAGTATGTATTTATCTGTGTAGTACTTATGGTTTTCGTCATGTTTGCCTAAAAAATTTAAAATATATAAAACTATATTAAAGTGGTAATTCTAATATATTAAGATAAATTAAGGGCTGGGGAGATGGCTCAGTGGAATAAGTGTTTCCCTGGCAAGCGCAAGGACCTGAGTTCAATCCCTGGTTCCACAAAAATAAATAAATGAATAAATAAAATAAATTAAATCAAAATAAAAGAAACTATAGTATATTTCTTTAATGGATGAATACATATGTACTGTACAGTATATATGTTGTTAAAATTACATAGATCTATGAGTTTAGAAGATGGTTAGGAACATTAGAAGTGTTTTTATTTTTTTATTTTATTTAGTTATTTATTTTAGTGGAACCGGGGATTGAACTCAGGAGGTCCTTGCGCTTGCCAGGCAAGTGCTTATTCCACTGAGCTATCTCCCCAGCCCCCCTAGAAGTGTTTTTAAAAGTGTGGGAAAGGTTTATAAGAGTGTGGCAAGGGTTTATAAAGCCTTAAAATATATATAAATACTAAAATAAATATAACACTGCTACTTCATTGAGTTTTACTTATCATGGGGGTGTCTGGAGCGTAACCTCTGTGATAAATGAGGGACCACTGTACCTCACTTTTTTTTTTCTGGTTTAAACTTTTCTTTCATAACCAGATAAGACTATTTTTTCCCATACAAATTTTCTATGTTCTTATTTACTTTCAAACACTACAAACACATTAATATTAAAACATGAAATGTTAGG